GGTGTCAGAGTAAGGAGGACTGAAACGTCTGTCTGAGTATGCAGGTGGAAAAGGGAAGAGACTTTACAGTAATATTGCTGTGAAAAATCACAGTTGGGTCTTTCAGAGCTGTGCGTATGCAGCATTTGCAGTCTTAACAGGCTGCAGATGTAGCACGGAAAAGAAATATGATTGCTGTAATATATGGCAACCTGTAAATACCAAACATTTGCTAATGAGGTATTATATGTCAGAGTGGAAGGGCAGAAAATGGGAGGGGTTTTTCAGCCTGCAGCTCTTCAGTCAGTTTTGAGGAAATGCTGCTTTTCTGGCTCGCTCCTTTGTTTGTGGATCAGGGTGGGAGAGGGCATATAGCTGGCACGCAGTATGCTGCTATTAAGAAAATCATAAAGCTCTGTGCAAATATTGGAAGCTCTTAAGGCAGTAGAGAGGACGCAGCCAGGGAGGACGAGCTAAGGAGTTTGATCCTTTGCCTTGCCATGTAGAAGGCCTGAAGTGAGTTTGTGATCTATGGTTTCCCCACTACAGGGTGTTAGATTTGGAGGAACAAGGTGCTTGGGCTTTGCAAAGAGAGGTGAAGACACTGGATAAAACTCTTTCCGTGTTCCTTCTAAAGAAGGAGAGCAAAGGTCTAAGTCTAAGTAGCAGGCAGGTGGGAAAAAAACACTTATTTTTAAGGCTAAATGAGTGGAAATGGGTTGTTGGGGGTTTTTTTGACCATGACAGGGCAATGTCAGGGAGAGGCGTAAGCTAAAATGCAGTCATCACATATGGATGGTGCGTAAAGGGGATATTCTTCCTGCCTCTCAGTACTTCTGTAAAGAACCCAAGTTTGAACAGTAAATTTTCTGAGAGATGATAGAGTCTGTTTTATGCATTTGTGTCTGCCAGTAAGTTCCTGCAAATACACCACTTTCAGATGCCCCTGTAGAATATGGGGATTCCCTCCTGTGATACCTTGCCTCCCCTAATCTGGTGCTCTGCTTTCATTAGGGCTGGAAGCCACTGCTTGCCACAAGCCACTGCGACTTGTGCTATGAGGAGTGTCCACCTTCCACTGCACAGGGGAGGAAACTGGTGAAAGAGGAGCTTTTCGCCGAGAGGCACTCAGAGAGCGTGGCTTAGATCCCAGTGGATCCCTCTGCCCATCTGTGATGCTGAATCTCACTCCTGCTTTTATGCTTGTAGCTTACCTCAAGAGGGTTCCTTACGTATTTGGAAGATGCCCATAAAGCCCCAAAATCACAACATTGACAGGATCACCTCTCTTGGCCTCGTTCTCCCTGGAGGTGGATGTGATTTTTCCTTAGCAGTAGTTATGAACACATATTCCTAGGCTCTGAGTTGCCGTTGTCTGGCCCTGCTGGGCAGGTTGCAGAGGACTGGTACCACTGGACAGGACAGCTTCCCATGAGGTGACTGAGCGGCTGCTGATAGCATATCGTAATCTGGGATTAGAATAAGTGGGTTCAAGTTTTTTTGCATCTTGGCGAGCAGCGTCCAGCCATGAAGGGCTGCTAAGACGCCTGCAGAAACATTGCCTGTTCCAGGGAGAGCTACCTCTGACGTAGCATCTATTTTATGCGTGGGAGAAGTGGGATCTGCCGGCCTGTGAAAGAGTAGGGGTGTAAGCAGGGTTTTTAGGAGCTGTCTGAAATTCTAGGGAGTAAAGCAGGAAGATTATCTAGGTCTTGGCCTGCTCGCTGTGCGCTGTTCCTCCCTGCTAATCTCCACAGCAGCGGTAGCGTGGCTTGTGGAGGTGACATGCCATCGCTTTGTCAGCTATCAGCCTACGCTCAGGTGTGGGAAAGCTCAGGGGAAAACACTGCTTTTGGGGCAGGTTGATGTTTTACGGTACAAATTGTGCTGGGGCAGAGAAGGAAGGTAGGGCTTTTGCTTTCTGACCTGCAAACTACTTTCTTGTTACTGTACATCATCTGTGCACGCTGTGTGTGTGACATGGACTGGTTGTCCACGGCAAGGATAAATTGAACTTTCTTCCAATTTCTGTTACCTGAGCTGTTGTTTTGTGACGGGCCAAATATCCCCTGGCTACGGATACCATTAGAGGAAGAAGGCTGATGGAGAGAAATCATGTCCTGTCATGCATGTTAACAGCATTATGAATTAAAGGAAGCCGACAGGCTTTTAGCACAGAGAGAGGAAGGTGGGGAGAAGCGAGATGGAGCCGCCCCTCTTTCCTCTGCTCCTGATGCGCCTGGCGTAGTTAATCCGTGCTTTTTTCAGGCTGCTGCACGGTGCCGAGGTCTGCAACGTGCTTTGCCAATGCTAGCATGGTACGATTTGGGGTTTCAGTCAGCAATAAAGTAATTAGCAGCAGTGGAAGGTATGTATATGCTCTCTCTCTTCGGGGGACCGCCATGCTTTGCCAGCCTGTGGCTGCGGGAGCAAGCCCTCGGCTTCTGTGTTGCAGGCTGGCTCGTCTGTAGTCCAGCCCGTAAGCGCTGCTGTAAGGAAGGGTATGGATGTTGTCCTTAGACATGAAAAATGCTGAGTGAGATGTGGAGCATTAAACTCTGACGGGCTGAGATACTGCAGTGTTTAAACATCTGAAAGGTTTTATTTCAAACTCTGAAGCACAGCTAGAAACTTCAAAGCTGTCGTTCTCAGTCGGAGGACTTTTTTCAGACAGAGAAAGGCTTCAGTGGCCTGGCAAGTTGGCTTCTTCTGGAGTTAAAAGTGGAGGTTATTTAATGTGCTGGTGGGAAATGGCCACTAAGTGGAAATAATTGTTTTGGTATGGGTGTGTTAACCATCCTTGAGGTGTTTTTATAAATATCCTCTAACAAAAGAGCATGTTTCTTAAAGCCAAATGTAACCACTGCTCCACCTGGGAATGGTTCTTCCCCAGCAACAACCCGTAGCTCTTCTTATAAAGGAAATTTAAACTTAATTCGTCTCGGCAAACTGTGGGGCACATGGGAACAAGAAAAATGTAATTATCAGAGCTGGTATTAGCTGAGCTTGTGTTGTGAAGTGCAACCTGTATTTAGACAGGATTTAGACACCATTTAGAGCTTGTCACTACAGCTGGTTCCAGCTTTACTGCACAAAAAATGGACTCAAGGTTTAAATCTGTGCTGACTTGTGTTGAGTTCCATGCTGATGGCAGCTGCCGCTTTGACAGCTGTGGAAGTCTCCTCTTGAAACCCCGTACGAGTGAGTGCTGCTGTTCCTGGGTCTTGAGTCAGAGCCTGTCATAAGAGCTTC